CAAAAAGACATTGTCCTTTAGGACAACAGCACGGGAGAGCTCTCTGTGTGTATAAAAAGGTCCCGGAGCTCTGCCAACGTGCGGAGGATGGCCATCGTGGAGGTTTTAGTCGGTAAGAATCCGACACTACCTAGATCTTCCCTTAAAAAGAGACTCAGGTGTCTTAGGAAGATTTCCTCCACGTAAAAAAAAAAAAAAAAAAATATAATTTTTATCTAATATTTTCGAAAGTCGATTTGAAAAAGACGAATAATAAATTGACCCTTCAAAATTTTGAATAGAGATGTTTTACCTAATGATCCAAGTGTCTCATTAGGAAGACAATAGTTTGGGGATTCATCCAAATAAACTAAATCATTTGCCGTAGGTAGTGAAAATCTCGGGTCTCGCATAGACAGACGACCACGTCTATTTACTCGGACCTCCGTTGCCCCATCGTATTTATCCAAAAGGAAATCACCTGCACAGATGATTAGTATTCGTGATGTTATTATCATTTCATTCATGGTAACATTAGAATCGATTACATTGAAAGGCACGTACCAATTTCTCGGAAGGAAGCAAGTTGCTGCCAGCAGGTAATTAAGCTGCAGCTTCCAGAAACACCGTGACACTTGCACGTTACTTTGGATCGTTTTATAACAGCCTTTGGAGAAACATTTATCATTTTCACAGTCATTGCTATGCCAACAGTTTCTTCGTCGATATTTAATGAAATAAGAAGAAGAAAAAGAAAAAAGTGAAACTTACCCTACGTCCGGCCTCGTTATTATGAAGATTCATCAGGCTTCTGCCTTGCTCTCTGCTACCTCTTTTAAAGCTCCGTTCACGTTCTTTCACATCGACGAATGCCTGTGTAAATCTGAGAAAATGAAATCTTGCAATGAAGCTTTGACTTTTTAAGCAATTGATGCAATTAATAAAAGGAATGAAAGTTGCAGCAATTACTTGTAACCGTATTCGAGATTGTCGCCGCAGCCACCCCAGATCCAATCTCGTTTTAGATCCCTGGGTCTGCTGCTTCTCGAACAGCCGCACGAGGACAATTGCCCGTCTCTGCACGATCGACTGATCGAATACACCACTCCTGCAGCTGAGATTGCATGTACGAATGCAGTTTCTCTGCTAGCTATGAAAAAGAAAAGGAAAACTTTGGAATAGTTCATTCGAGAACAAAAAAGAAAAAAAAAAAAAAAAGAATTTATAATACAAATAATTTTACCTATTCTGAGCATAGGTCCGAACACGGACTCATCAGAGACGGTGGAGCAGTTCCACCTTCGATCGTGGAATTGATGCTGGCACTCGAGAATTCCAAATTTCGCACCCTTCGCCACGCTCGGCATGTGATCCACGGATAGCTGGCATAACTTCCCTTGGCCTTGCGAGAGCCCTTTTAGCCCGTGACAAATGCTCGACGCGGCGACGTCGTAAGTTTCTATCATCTGAGCGGTTTCCAGTTGCGGGAAGTGCTGCAAGCCGATATTTCTGAAACGAATCATCGAGGGGAAAGTGCAGCGAATAATGAACATTTGATTGGCCAAAATTTCGTGACTTGTGCAACAATTATAAGTTCCCAATGAAATCTCAGAATCACTAGACGAGTGAAGTATAAGACTTGTCAGCAGAGAAGTCAATCAACAATGAACAGAAGCTTCTATTTATTTTACTAAAAATCAATCAAGTCTCCATAAAATATATAAAATTATAAATTGATCATTCTAGCGTTAAATATATCCGACAGCCCCTAGGAAACACTACAGAAACACGGTCAAACAACTCGAGGAAATTTGCTACGCCGATTATATAAATTTGGAGCAAAGGAACCGTGGGCGAGGAACGGTTCTCCGCGCCGATTTTTAATGGTGCATTTATGAGCCAGCCGAGCGAGATGATGGAACGACGCCGTCATGGACAGAAGTCAGGGGATCTCTCTGAACGGGGCTACCAATCTGAAATTCGAAACGGGTGCTCGTAAAGGTTTTTACCAACGATACACATAAGAATGGGTGTACACACTCCGATGCTCTAATCGGCAATCGAGCGAGGAAAATACGCTCTAGCAGGAGGATCGATGGGGCGAGATGTACGATGGGAAACAATAGAAAAGCTCCGTATCCGATGTTTCAAGTAATCTACACAAGTTTCGAATTTGCCAAAGCATGCCGATAGAAGATATCGTCTTCTAACGTTAAACAAACTGTAACATCCTAGACGTTTCAACGCTGTTGCTTGCTTACTGCAGTTTCTAATCCCTTTTACTAGGGTGAAAGTCGCGCGTAATACATACTGTCCCGCGTAATCGTGCAGCGCTGGAAGATATCACTGGATGGATGTTTAAAGGAAAATTAAGAGGATTTCAGATGGAGCGAACGAGTCGCTTGGATCGAAAGAAATGAATTTACTAATCTGAACGAAGGTTTTTAAAGTATCAAGATGTTCAGCCTACGGCCTTATAGTACAGTGGTAGTATGTATAATAGACTGCATTAATATTCTGGGACACGTTTCGGCCGTGATATATTATCAGCTTTGCACTCCCCTAAAACAATGACGCAGGGAATCACGGGGAGGGGAACGATAATATTTCGAAGGATCCTGCCCACGCGAATTCATGGGAGCACCTCTTCGTAGGCCGCGCGCTGTCCCAAAAAGTAATGCCCCGTATCTCTTAAAACATTGTACCGGCAATCGTAGTGGTTCTATGCACCGGGTGTTCTAATTTAATAATATCACATTCAATCCCGAGTTTTTCTGAGTTTTTCACACACGATTCCGCTACGCTCGCGGCTCTCCGCTGTGGACAAAAGGCAAACAGAAATTTGACGAAAATCTTTGGATCGGAATGTAAAATACCGACATTTTATTTCTTCGTTCTAAATCGGACGAAACCGATCTTTCTGATAGAACGTTCAAGATCGACCGAAGGTTTTATCCTTCGTAAATGCTCGGGCACACGTTATCCACCGTGTTTCGCGTGGGCGTAACGTAATCGACTCGTATTATTTTAGTGCTAGCGGAGACGAACGATTGAGATAATGATTACTATTAGTAGTAATAAATTACCAGGTACAATCTCTCCATTAATACGACTAGAAATTTACGTTTCTCCGAGACTTCAAATGTTGTCTCGACGAGAAAAACGAAGGAGAGGAAGCTGAACTAGGGGCAACGGATGTTTCTTCCCAGATTGTCAAGCAGATTCATTCTTCTTCTCTGTTTCTACTCAACATATATATATATATATATATATTTTTTTTTTTTCATTCAACGTATAAATGTTTCGCCCTGCTGAAATCTGATGACACGAGGAATAAAAAAGTATCGATCGTATATTACAGAGTGAAAGAAACTATCTATACGTCCTATTGGTGTTAAAGTCAAGCGAAATTGCCGGCCGATTTCTAATTCGAACATCGAACGAAAGAGACTGAAACGCCTGGTGGAAAGTATCGTGTCGCAGGCAACAATGACGCCGCTTTCTTCTCACGTGGGACGAGAAAAATGGGTACCGTGATCATCCTTTAATCTGGCCGTTTCGATATCGCCGCGATTCACGGTGAAATAGTGTTGCAGGACTGGTCTGGTGCAAATCAATTCATTCTCACACACGCACCATCTAATCTGCATGCTGGCTCTTTTAGTCTCTTAGTGACTCAGAGTTAGCCATCGATCGGTTAATAAAACTAAAAATCGTCAATCAATTAATCGTTGATATTGATGTTAATCATTTGTTAGTTATCAATTGTTAATTATTACATCGAACTTGATTAAGATTTCATTTAGGCTGTATTTTGAAGTTGTGACAATGGGAGAGAGATTAGAAAAATATTTATTTTCTAGAAAGACGTTCGTATCTTCATTTATCGTTTATTTCAATGTGTTATTGTTTCATGCATTTGCCTCTTAGAAAATTCCATTCACAGTGATAACTTATAGTATTTTCAAAAAGGAAAAACTGCCGTCGCATAGTGTAAAAACATTTTAGAACGAAATGAACATACAGGCTTCAAGCATTAAAATGCAGCCTAGCTTCATTGTTGTGCGATATTTTTTTTTTTTTTTTTTTTTTAATTTAAATACTTAGCGTATATCCGAATACCTATGGGAGATATTCGAGTGCATTCGTTGGATAAAATATTACAACGTCAAAAAGAATATGTAGATTAAGTAGAAAGTTGAAGATAAAAATTTTAAAGAAGCAGATAAGGTGGGAATCCATCGTCTTCTCGTTTTGTTAATATAATTGATTGGAAGCTTTCCGAATGATCTTTCAAATATTCCGATCTAATTAGGCTACGGTAAAGATAAAATTAAAGCGACCATAGATTAGATCCGTCGAGTTCTTAACTTAAGCCCACATAAGAAGGATTAGCTTTCACGGAGATCCACCGCTCGAGTGATTAGGCGTTTTCGTGATCGAAGACGCTCAGCGATGAGATTTATAAAACAAAAAAAAAAAAAAACCTCTGCAATGATTGAAAGGGCCATTTATCAACGATCGAAATCTATTAGTAGACATCTTTCGATTTTAGAAATGGAGAACGATGTAACAGAAGAACTGACTATATTTTTCGATAGATTGGAAATGGACAGAAGTATTCGCAGATTCGATGAAAAATTGTCTATACTTTGAGCTGTTGTAACTTCATAAAGAGAAAGAAGTAAAAATATTTTTTTCTTAAAAATCGTGAAAATACAAAACTGACTCTGAAAACTAACTAAAACAATTTTCACGATTAAATCTGGCATAACCTCGAAGATCAAAGTGCCCTTTTTGCTTCACGACCTCTTAAAATTTGCTGTACGATTCTTTCTCGCCATTTCTATCGAAACTTCGAACATTATGGTTTCCTGAATTTTTGTCCTTCAACTCTGTCCTCTCGTTAAAGATCCAATAAAATGGCGAAAAATTATCGTATAGCAATTTTAAAGGGGCTGATGGAAAGGGGAGACTTCGATCTTCAGTATTATGATAGATCTAGGCGTTTAACACGTTACGTGCGAAGCCATTTTTGCCTTTTGTTGTCGTTCAGGCCATTTGATATTTTG